AAATAAAGTTTCTTAGACCAATTGTTCAAAAAGTTAGACATCGGCCGGGCACTGGTGGCTCCCACCTGTAATCCTAGCTACTCAGGAGGCTGTTATCTGAGGATCAAGGTTCAAAGCTAGCCTGGGCAGGAAAGTCCGTGAGATTCTTATCTCCAATAAACTGCTCAGAAAACCGGAAGTGGTATGGCATAAGTGGTAGAGCGCTCATCTTGAGCTGAAGAGCTGAGGGACAGCATTCAGGCCCAGAGTTCAAGCCCCATGACCAACAACAACAACAACAAAAAATTAGACATCAGTTGATCTCAGGAACTTCTCTTTAATAAAACTGAGGTCATTGGACCTAGATGTTAAAATTTACAAAGCCCAAGGTGAGTATGGGAATTTTTGGTTTGTTTGCTTGTTTGTTTACTTTGGTTTTGGTCTCTCTCCCTTCCTTTTCAGTTTTGTTTTTTGTTTTGTTTTGAGACAGAGTCTTGTTATGTAGACCAGGCTGGCCTCAAACTCATTATGTTGTCTGTCCAGGCTGGCCTCATACTGGTGATCTTCCTGCCTGACCTTCCTAAACACTGAGATTACAGATGTGTACCATCACATTCAGCAAGAGAATTAATTACTGGTGATTTTTTTCCCCAGTAAAAAGTTTACCTAATACATAGGGGAGGAAACTGTGCATTTTATACAATTCAGAATCCACAAATTAGTCCATGTCTGTGCTGACTATTAATCTTTCACTCAAGAAGTATCACCTTGTGGCCAGATGCCCCCACAGGACAGAGCTAGGAACAAACCTTCATCTGCCTCCCCAGAAGCAAGGCCTTATTCTGGGACAGCAGACAGTGGGCCCAGACTCTTTAATGACCATAGGGAAAGTTATGTCTTTGAAAACCACAGACTTTCTTTCCCAATCCATTCCAGGAGGATCTTTGATACCTGTGGGAGTTTTACCCAAACATCAAATATGCCAGACTTTTCACTACTTTATTGTAGCTCTGCCTACGTTTCCCTATAAACCAGGGTTAATTAAATCTCAACGCTTTGATATGAACATGAGCTTTCTCTGAGACTCCCTCCCTGTGTGTGGAACCCTCCAAGAGGTCCTGGTGCTAATGGAGTCTAATTATTTCCTAAAGTCCACACCCATGGCTTCTTCACTCATCAATCAGAGACAGGCTGGCCAGGAGGAAATTCCCTGGGGAGAACCACCACTACACAAGGAAGATGCTGGTCACACTTGTTTCCAGTAGGGGGAGTATACCAGGCTCTGGCCTGAAGGGCTTGGTTTCGTATAAAAAGCTTTATGGGCATTGGGGTGGTCAGACAGGTCTTGGCAAGTTGAAAGGGTACTCAAGGATGGCAACAGGACTCCGAGGGATTGGACATGTGCTAAGGGGAAAAGATACCCACAAAAGTCCCCAAAGGATCTAGGGACCAGGATTCCTGGCTCCTATGGCTCCTATGCCATTAGTGCTACTCAGCTCTTGGCAAGAGCCTAAGGTCTAGGCTTGCACTTAGCCAAACACAAAGGTCTTTAATATTCTGAATTGGGTGATTGCTAGTTTTGTGTTGTTTTTAAAGAGCACTATAGTCCCAGAGAAGAGTTTCAGCATCTCAGAGAAAAAGTCTCTATTCTTAAGGAAATGAAGAACAAGGAAGGAAGGAAGGAAAGAAGGAAGGAAGGAAGGAAGGGAGGGAGGGAGGGAGGGAGGGAGGGAGGGAAGGGAGGGGGAGGAGGAGGGGGGAGGGGAGGGAGGGGAGGAGGAGAGAGGGAGGGAAGGGGGAGGGAGGGAGGGGAGGGGGAGAAGGGAGGGAAGGAGAGAAAAAGAAAAGAAAGAAAGGGGGGCTGGGAAGGTGGCTCAGTGGTAGACCGCTTGCCTTGCATGCCTGAGGCCCTGGGTTCGATTCCTCAGCACCACATAAGCAAAAAGAAAAAAGCCGGAAGTGGCGTTGTGGCTCAAGTGGTAGAGTGCTAGCCTTGAGCTGAAGAGCTGAGGGACAGCACCCAGGCCCAGAGTTCAGGCCCCACGACCGGACCCAAAAAAAAAAAAAAAAAGAAAAGAAAGAAAGGAAGAGAGAAAGAAAGGGAAAGAATGAGGGGGGAAAAGAAAGAACGAAGGAAAGAACAAAGGAAGGAAAAAAGGAAAGAGAGAGAGAAAGAAAGAAAGAAAGAAAGACAGAAAGAGACAGAAAGAAAGAAAGAAAGAAAGAAAGAAAGAAAGAAAGAAAGAAAGAAAGAAAGAAAGAAAGAAAGAAAGAAAGAGTGAGTCAGACAAGCAGGGAAATGTTCATTACCCTGAAATAATAATAAGCCTAAGGTACTCAGAGAAAAGCATAAAGAGCTTAGACAGCCCTGCTTGGCTTGGCATCAAAACACTTCATTCACCGCTGTAGGTTTTGTGTCTATGAGCACATCTTTCCTCCCCGCTGAGTCTGAGTCCTGATCTATAAAATACTAGAGACTAGGCCAGAACACCTTCTAGTCTGGACTTCTAGGGCAACTCTTTCCAATGGCACTTTCTGTGATGTTGGGAAATATTCCACATCAGCCTGGTCCTACTTGGTAGCACTTACATCGATGGATGCGTGGTCACAATAGGCCTAGGGGTACTGACAAATGGATTTGTTTCATTTTACTAAATTAAATACCAAGGTGTCCTTAGCGGCTACGCTATGAGACAGAACAGACCTAGGACTCTAGAACCAAAGATTTTGATCTTCATTAATGTGACTTTCATGCTAAGAACACGCTAGAAAAAAATTTTTTTTTCACAGACAAGATGACCTGTTTGCTCACAGAAAGAAATCCCATGAGCCAAGAGTCTTTTTCCCTTGCATCAATGTGTATTGAGACTCTATCCACCCACCAACCAGCAAGGAGACAGCTCGCTGAGGCCCACATTTGTCTCTTTGCTGCTGGATAATGACCTGGCCTTCCAGCCAGGCATATATGATCATGTCTAGAAACAGCCCCCAGGCAGCTTCAGGATCCAGTCCACGTTTCATGATTTCTTGGCAAAGCCACAGGGCAGGTACTTCATAGAAACATCACTCGGCTCATTAAGGAAGAGCTGTGTGTTTGGAAGGTGAGGTTCAGAAAGGCATTCCCAGCTCTTTCCGCTCTCTCTGCCATGGCCCTCCATTGCCAAGACAGGTACTTCACCTCGCCTCTACAATCCAGCCTTTCGTTTTCCACCACCTTTGCCTTTCTTCCATAAATAGCCGGTCAGCTTTCTCCCTGACTTCAGTTGTCCTGTCTCTGCAAACTTCATCCAAGTTTATACAAATACCACTTGGGTCAAGTCATTCTTGGGCTCAAATCTTGCAGCAGCCCTCCCACTGCCTTTGGGAAAGAGGCCAGACTCTTTGTGGGGCTCCCCAGCCCCCTCCTCCAGCCTGATGCCTTCCTCCTATTTTGTTGTTGTTGTTATTATTATTATTATTATTCTATTATTATTCTCATCAGTCACTTAACCAGGGATCTGCTGCTCTGGCCAGCAGTCCTACTTAAGGCCTGTCAAGTGTGACAGATATGCTTTGTGGACCCCCTTCTCCTCTCTTGTGCCCCACAGATGCTATGCAACCTCCACAGTCTGTCTCAAGTGCCACCAGCAAGGGAAGCCTGTTAGGGTACCCAAAACTAATAGTTGCCCCCCGCTCCCCCCCACACACACACATCTGTTACTTTACAGCCTAGTCTTTCTGGACTAGAATTGGGCAAGGTAAGATGGTGGTTAAAGCACTGGCTTGCTGGACTTGAGTTCAAATCTTTATCCTTGTATATCATTCTGAACAACCATTCTCTGTGCCTCAGTTTCCCACATCTGAAATGGAGGCAATGCTTACCAGGTGGTCATGAAAGCTAGATATTTTAATTCTTATAAGATGTTCATTTGTATAAGTATTGGGGGCATTGTAAGTGCTTAGCAAGTGGAAGCAATTGTCTTTGTTCCTATTATGATTATTATTATTTGGCTGTTATTGATAAGGAAGGATTGGGGGCTTACTTGCACTGGTCTTAATCCCCCTTCAAACTATAAGTATCTAATTGGTACTGCTTGTATCTTTGGGGATTCTCCCAGACACGCCATAGTTTGCAAATAGTGAGGGCTCTAAATGTGAATTGTTTGAGGATCTCTGGAGCCTGAAGTCTTCCATTTGAACACCAAGACTATCACTTATTAGCTCTGTGCTCATCAGCAAGCTCCTTAAAGCCCTCTGGCCCTCCGTTTCCTTATTTTCAAAATGGAGAGACAAGTGGCACCTTATTTATAGATTGTTGGCAGGATTAAATTTAGCACTTATTAACGGGGTGTCTAAGGGCCGTCGCTTGGGTTAACCAGCCTTTAATGCAGAGCCTGAACCTAGTAGGTCCTCCATGCTGATTTCCTGAGTCAATGAATGGTCCCATTGTACTAGTTGCGATGAGATTTAGGGTAGATTTATTACAGTATTATCCTCAGTCACGGTAGTTTGGCCTTGGTTGCTGGCACCATCATCTCCCCCTCTTTCTTTCTTCTTTTATTTCTTGGCACTGGAGAGAGTGCCTGGTTTTAACTAGGTAATACCTTTTGAGTGAAGACCTCCTGAGCCCGTGTAGAAACTAAGAGCCTAAAAGTAAATTAAAAATCGGGGTAAGTTCCTCTTGAGCAATGATTGGCCTATGGATATGACAAATCAAGAACAGGACCTTTGCAGGGCCACTGAAAGAGGCTTTATTTGCGGGTGAAAGGGTGTTCTTAAAGAAACATGATCCAAGAGGACCATCTGCCTGTGGAAATGGAGGAGGCAGCTTCAAGGCAATGAGGGTAAGCACACTCTTCTAGTATCAGGATGCATTACAGATCCTCCGTTTCCTGGTCCTGCTCAGGGTGTCCTCGCTGGTGGAAGCTGGCCCTTTGCTTTCAGTGGCCACTGAACTATGGTCAGGCCTAGCCTGAGGAGGCCCCCAGGTGGCCCAGCTCAGTCCCTCCAGGATCCGCACTCTGAGGAATGCAGGGGGGACTTCAGTGGCGGCCCTGGGGGCAAGGCTGGCAAGGCACACAGACGGTGCAGGGCATATAGACGGAGCGGGGTGCACTTGGGGAAGAGGCACAAGGCGGGCAGGAAGGCGTGGAGCACGGGTTACAGGGAAGCCTGCAAGGGGGAAAAAGTCACAAAGGAACAGGATTATGAAGGAGCCCAACTCGGTAGCAGATCTTAACGGTTCTACCCAGGACACCTCTCAGATGGGTCTCCTATACACCCTCTCCACCTGGATCCCCTTGGGCCAGCTTCCATTATCCTGACCTCTTCCTTGATGCCCTCCAACTCCACGCTGGCCTCTGCTTACAACTGTCCGCTTGGTAGAGTGATCTTCTACAGGCATCATCAGTCTGACTGTGCCCCTTTCCTGCCTAAGACCTTCAGTGGCTCCCACTTGTGCTAGCATGAGCAGCAGCTCATTTAATAAGACACACCCTGTTTCTCCCAGTTCAGCTCATAGCCCTGGTGCTATGGGCTGTGGACTACAACTGCTCAGGCCCACGTGACTTGTGCCCTGTCTTCTAATTCTAGAACACTCTTCCTTACCACTGAAATCATCCATTTCTTCTCTTCCTTCATTCAACTGGCACATCTACCCGAAAGCCTTCCGGACCTCTATGCCAAACTCTCCCAAAGGTACCATGTTCTCTTTCGTAGTGATCAGTAATTAGTCTGTGATGGTCTACTTTCCCTGCTGGGGAATGAGGTCAGCAATTGCGTGTGTGCCCACCTTACATCCCCGGGGAAAAGCAGGCACTTAATAAGAACGTCTTGAATAAGAAGACGTGGAAACAAAAGGAAACAAGATGATTGATCTCAGACATTGACAGGCTTGGGCTCCAAACCAGAAACAACACACTGGATGTTGGACACAGACCAAAACAGCACAGATGCCCAGCCAGCAGCCTGAGGGCCACATACAGCCTGAAATATATTTAATTTGACTGGCACTCCTTTTTTAAAAAAAAGTAAAAATAAAAGAACTTAGCATTTGAAGAAATTCAGATTGTTCCTTTCTCTTATCAGTCAGAAGAGCCAGAAATACTGGACCTGCCTCTTACTCGATTGAACTGGCCCTGCCCCACCCTCCTTTCTTGGACCCTGCACAAGCTCCCTGAGTTCCACAGCCCCCACATGATCCTCATCAGGAGTGTGTGTTAATGGCCTGGGCTTGCAAAAGTTTGATTTTGCAACCCCTGCTTCTGGAGGGTAAGATTCCGAATGACAGACAGGCAAGGCTTAAATGTAGATCAAGAAACTGCTATAACAGGAGTCAACCCACCAGGTGTCCACAACCTGTGGTCTTCTGGCTAGAAAACTCCCAAGGACCTTGCAGGTCCTGGTACAACATCAAAGCCTACTGACCTAATCAGGTCTTCCCCATTGCTCATGCCAGGGCCAAGACCTCCTCAACGTACCTCTACCTGGGTTCTTTCTGCTACTCTCGGGGTAATTTTTCCATCGAGCTGTGTTGAGGTATCCTTGACTCAATCAAGAAAACACTGACTGAACATCTATTCTGTGCCAAGTTCAGGCAGACAACTGTAACTAATTGTCTCTACTTTCTAAGTGTTCCCCAGCTTAGTGGGACAAGCAGATTTTATCATCCCTGCCTCAAAAAGTAAATAAATAAATAGGAAATAAATCACCAGCAGCAACAGCATGACCTTTGTGTTGCTTACCACAGCTCGATCACAGATACCTGTTGCCCTTCACTTCTCCAACACTTCTCTGAACCCTCTCCAGAGGATCTCCAGTGACACATATGCCTGCCCCACTAACAAGTTGAGAGCGGATGCCTTCTTGGCCTCTGTCTCAGCAGCCCCCATGGTGCCTAGCTCATGGTAGGCATTTGGAAGGAGTTCATTAACTTGGAGTGAAGCAAAATGGTCTAACCTGGGCCATGTCTGGGCACCATTTCCTGATTTTCTTCGGCTCATGAAGGCTTACTGATGGCTTCTTCATCATGACAAGGCTCCAAGCTGATGTTCCTTAAGCATACAACCCCTAGCTTCCTATAACCCTCCCCGACTATGGCATACATCTCTACCGAGTCCCCCGAGAGCCCACGTACTTGCTGTCCTCGCTCTCCAGCAGGCCCCGGTATGTGTTGATCTCACACTCCAGTCGGGCCTTGACATCCAGCAGCACCTTATATTCCTGGTTCTGCCTCTCCAGGTCACAGCGAATGTCGGCCAGCTGGGACTCCACGTTGCTGATCATGCACTGCATCTGACCCAGCTGGGAACTGTACCGACCCTCAGTCTCTGCCAACGTGTTTTCCAGGGAGTCTCTCTGAGGCAGAGAAAAGATACCATTTTGAAAGTTCAGCTCTTTTGCATGGCCTGCTGCAGACAGAACCATGAAGAGCTAAGACTCAATTTGGTATTGAGTCCTTACATGAATCAGAACTGGAAGCCCAGGAAAGCTAACACAACAGAACAGATTGAAGCCACGTCTTAAATCTGATCCTAAATCCTGAAGTCCTTACTCTGATCCCAAATCCTTAAGTCCTTAATCTGATCCCAAATCCCTATAACTTTAGGCTGGCCGCAGGCCTTGGATTTGAAGATCACCAATTACCTTCAGTATGATATTATTTAAAATAGTGGTTTTCAACCTAGCTATACATAAGAGTCACATGGAAGCTTTAACAAAAAAGGAAAGGAAATAAACCCAGGTAAATATCACAGTGAAGCCCCTTTGTACAATTAACTTATGCAAATAAAATAAAATTTTATTTTATTTTATCTACCTCCAGAGATTCTGGTTCCATTGGCCTACAGAAGAATCTTGTTATTGGGACTTTCAAGATCTGTACCAGTGACAGTCAGAGCCAGGAGTTGGAAGGGAATCATGTGGGATGGTATCCACCCAATCAACATTCAATCTGGAACATCCTCTCCTTATCTCTGAACTGGAGAAACATCCCTCCAGGAAAGTCAACTGGAGGAGTATCTCAGCCACTGAATCTGGCCCTCCTCTTCCTCCTTCTCACATGCCCAACCCTCCATACTCAGTATTTCCCCAAAACCACCCACAAGCTGCACTCACCAGGCTGTGCTGGGCCTGCAGCTCAATCTCTAGTGTGTTGACTGTGCGTCTTAGATCAATGATGTCTGACTGGTAGCTCTGGAGCTGCTCAGAGCTGGTGGCCACCTGCTTGTTAAGCTCCTCCATCTGCAATGGGAGGATGGGGAGAGGGAGAAAGCTGGGAGCATCTTCCTCAGAATGCTGAAGAGCCCAGTCTGGCCCACTGTGAGAGGTGCACCCACCTGCACATTGAACCATTCCTCCACATCCCTGTGGTTGGTCTCCACCATGGTCTCGTACTGACATCTCATCTCCTCCAGCATCCTGGTCAGATCGACAGGGGGCGCGGCATCCACTTCGATGTTGAGGCGGTCCCCAAGCTGGTGTCGGAGGACGCTGACTTCCTGAAAAGACACAAGGACATGTGTGAGGAATAACCCCATCTCAAATCATCTGAGGTGCGACCCTTGGAGGCCTGGAATCCACCCTCTAGTATCTCAGTGGTCCAGCTCTACCTCCATGACACCTCCTGTTGCTTGGACAGAAACCAAAAGCAATGCCAGCGTTTGTTTGATCCGTGTGGGCCAAAATGGAGAGCTTGTGTCCCCAGCTTCTCAATCATCCTACCAGCCCTCTGCATCTGGAATGGAGGGCAATGGAGTCTGGCTTCCCCTAGCTCCCCCAGGCTTAGCTGCCAAGCAGAGAAAGTTGTCACTGAGGCCAAGGGGAGTGTGATAACAGCTCATTAGTGGCTTCTTGGCACAGTGCCCAGCTCTCTGGTTTAAGTGGGATGAGTCAGGCGCCCAAGGGTGCTTTGTGAATGCTCAGTGACAGATTGTTACTTTACTCTCAGGCATAAGTAATCCCAGACAGGATCCAGAGACACTGGTTCATTCAAATCCCAAGTGAAGAGGTTGGAGAAGGAGGAATATGACCTGGTGGCTCAGATGGGCTTTGTAAATACATGAATGCCCAGGGCAGAGAGCTTTCTTTCTAAGGACCCATGGGAGGTAAGGAAAGAGAGAAATTACTGGGCTGCCCTGTTGGTTCAGCTTCCATATCTTACCTACAAACAAAGAAGACAGAAAGGAATGAGGACAGGGACAGAGAAACAAAAATCAGTGCAATTCAACTCCCTTAGGAGACAGGGGTGCTACCCCTAGTAGTTAACCTGGCACAGATGGATGGGTTATTTGATGCGTGTTCCGAATATAACCTACCCTTGACCCCACATCCATCTGGAACGTGGTTCTCGAGAAGAAGACAGATGTAGTTGCCATGCACGAGCGTGCAATGACCCCAGGAAGTGCAGAAGGAAGTAGCTATGCTCTTGTACCCACGGCCTGCCTGGATCATGTCCACCACCCATCTCACCTCCAATAAATCCTCACGGTATGCAGCTAGATAAGGAGCCTCATAAATTCAGGTTACATAAATTGGATAGAGTCACAGAAATGACATGTGGCAGACCTGGCAATTTCAACCCACCCTCTATCCAACCTCAATCTCCCATGTTATTACCATTCTGCCCACCCACCCCCTGGGCAACCTCAGTTTGACTTCTGGTCTCACCTCCTCATGGTTCCTTTTGAGGTACAGCAGCTCCTCCTTCAGGGACTCCACCTGCGCCTCCATGTCAGCCTTGTTCAGGGTCAGGTCATCCAGGATCCTGCGCAGGCCATTGGTGTCAGCCTCTACCAGCTGCCGCAGGGCCAGCTCCGTCTCGTACCTGCACAGGGTCAAGGTCACAATTGAGAAGAAGGGTGGACTGTATAGAGGACTGAGGGATGGCCTTGAACTGTGGGCACTTTCCAACCCTCTATGAAAGTAATGGAAAGCTGCCCCCCAAAAAAGAGGACACACACACACACACACACACACACACTCCCCTGGACAAACTCACTTGGTCCTGAAGTCATCTGCAGCCAGTTTGGCGTTATCAATGTGCACGATCATCCTGGCGTTCTCCGCTTTGGTACACAGCACCTGTGGATCAAGGCACACATGAGAAGTTAGTCCAGGATAGAAGGACAGAGAAAGAACCCAGTGAGGAAAAGTCAGTCTCCAAGGAAGAACTCAGCACCTGTACCCTTCCTTTAGGAAGCCCCTCTTTCTTGGAACTTTGGGAAATTTTTAGTGAGCTGCTCATCCTTATATAACTTGAAATGTGATGTTTACTGAAAGCTTAACCTGTGCGAGGGCCTGTTCCTAAGCACCTGACTCGAATTGTCTCAGCGGATGAACCGTTGTAATTCCCTGTATTCCAGATATGGAAACTGAGATCGGGAGAAAGGAAAGGGACTTCTCCAAGTTATTCAATGAGTCAATAATCGAGCTGAGACAAAATGTCAGGCTCCTATTTCATTTAAAGGCTCTGGCTGGGTGTTCGAATTACAAGATAACTCTATGCCCCAGAGAGGTCTCTTTCCTCTGAGCTTAGCTTTAATGGGTTTAAGCAGCTCACATCTAAAGCATGGGCTCCCCCAGCAGCGCGAGTCCCTTCACCGCACGTCCTCACCTTCTGCTGGAGCTCCTCGATGGTCTGGAAATAGGACTGGTAGTCGGGACACATGGTGAGCACTTGGGACTGGCAGGCTTCCTGGATCTTGCTCTCTAGGCAGGCATTCTCCTGCTCCAGCTGACGCACCTTCTCCAGGTAGCTGGCCAGGCGGTCATTCAGGGACTGCATGGTCTCCTTCTCGTTGCCATTGAAGGCGCCCTCACAGAACCAGTTGCACGTAGCCATGGAGCTGGAAAAGCCACTGGATGGCCGGCAGCTGCTGGGCCGGCAAGAGCTCGACAAGTAGGTCTTAGAGAGGCAGCTGGCTGGCCGGTAGGTGGTGGGCATACAGATGGAAGGCATGCATGGCACGGGCTGGCAGACATACCCAAGGCACAGCTCAGGCCGGCAGCTCATGCTACTGGAACAGGCAGAGGAAGGCTGAGGACAACCCTTTGCGGAGGTCGACAAGGTATTGGTGACACAGAAGTTGGATGTCATATTGGGGAGGCCCCTTTCCCCTCAGCCGCCGTCCTTTCTGGGTGTCGACGGATCCCATCCTGCTCAGGCCTTTTTATAGTCTTGGAGTGAGGGGGCTCAGGCTCAAAAATCATCATGATTGGTGGTTGGGAGTTGGGGTAGGGGTGGGGAGAAGCCGGGGAGGGGAGATGTTGATGTTTACAATCGGCCCCAGAAGAAGCTGCTGATTACTTTGTAATTTCCTTTCCAATAAGGAGTACCTGGCCTCATAAAAGAGACCAAACTTATCATTTGGATAAAGCAGGACACTGGGTTCCTGTTGTCGGTCACCAAGGGAGAGAGCTTCCAGACACATCTTCAAAGGATCAGCTGCACACCTGGGCCCTCATTACCAGGGTGTGGCTGCCCTATACCAACATTGACCCTGCCCACTGAACTCCCACCTGTGGAAGCCTGCAGGTCTGCAGCGAGACAGCTATCCCCTTTTTAATGAGAGCATCCCTCGTGGGAAGAGGCCTGGTCCCTTAATAAGGAAATATGTAGGTGACAGAGCTGCCCCGATACTGGTAGGGGCATAAATCTGCGCAGAGAGGAAAGAACCCCTCCAAGACTAACAAATATGTCTCATCCTCCCACCAAGGGGAAGAAAATTGGACCCAGGGAGGACAGAATGGACTCAAGACACAGAAAAATCCCAGCCTTTGCAGATGGTGGCAATTGAAATAAGGAAGATGAGGTCTCCCTTCTCTTGGAAAAGCAGACTGGTGTCATGAGCTTCTCCAGAAGGCAAAGGCTCTAACTTGACCACCCCTGGGCTCCCTTGAGTGGCCATGATTCTGGGGACAAAGTTGTCCAGTGTTGATTGTGGAGACTGAGGTTAAACCAGCTGGAACTGGCTCTGCTTTTACTTTCTGCCATAGTGAACAGGGAGGACTGACTTTGGGATCTCCTCAGAGAAGGGATGCTCTGCTCTGGCATGAGCTAAGCCAGGAGACCAGGAGTAGTATCCTCCATTGTAGGCGCTTAAAGCATTCCCTTAAAGCAACATCCCAGACCAGTGTTTTGCAGTCCTGGCTGCAAAAGCCATGGATTCATATATTGCACTTTTTTTGGGGGGGGGGGGGGTGTCCGGTCATAGAGCCTGAACTCTGGGCCTAGGCGCTGTCCCTCAGCTCTTCAGCTCAAGGCTAGCGCTCTACCACTTGAGCCACAGCGCCACTTCCGGCTTTTTTCTTTTTGCTTATGTGGTGCTGAGGAATCGAACCCAGGGCCTCATGCAGGCAAGGCAAGCACTCTACCACTGAGCCACCTTCCCAGCCCACACATTGCACTTTTAACATGGTGCATTACATGGCCACTGTCTTCTCCTCAGGACTGGTCAGTCAGAATTAGGTAGTGAATGAGGTAAGGGCATTTTCTGTACATCTGGCCTGCTGTAGCTAGACATTGGCTGGAAGGAAAACTTCAGAAATGAAATCCCAGACAGGGAAAAGATAGACAGCCATCCCAGAACCAACCAGTCATCCTACTAGAAGAGCCAACTCCAAGAAGTTTCTAAATGTCTATTATAGGCTTAGCAAGGTGGGAGGGCTTACAGCATAGTGGAGTGTTGTATTCTCTGTCTCAAGAGGAAACTGAGATTCAGAAAGGGACTGCGACCTGCTACTCCTTTTCCTACACATTGTGGTGATGTGGCTGAGGTCTGAACCCAGGTGGGTCTGACTCCATATCCTAGCCTGTATTCCTTACACTAACATCATACCCTTCCCCCACCACAGAGGTGGGAAGAGGTAGACCCAGTGAGTCTCCATCCTGAGGCCTCCTCCCTCCCACACTGGCCAATCCTGCCTCTGGTACCTAGCATTCTGTGTTTAGTGAAGGTTTGTTGAGCACAGTGAAAGATCCTTCTGGAAGAGTGATCCTTGGCAAAAATCAGTCAAGGTGTTCCTAGGAGACTGAAGTTAGGTGATACAGGCAGCCAAAAGCAAGGGGACTGGCAGAGACCAGAGGCCCCAGCCTCTTGTGCACTTGGCTAAAAGGGGAAGAAGAACCTATAGGTGAATCAGAATGAACTCTGCAGACACCCTGAAAGAGCAGGCCTGCCTAGTGAGAACCGCTCACCTGTCTGGTATCAACCTTGGCACTGTGACATCCGTGTGTGTGTGTGTGTGTGTGTGTGTGCGTGTGTGCTGGTACTAGGGCTTAGACTGAAAACCCTTTGTGCTCTTGCTCAGCTTTTTTGCTCATGGCTGGCACTCTACTACTTGAGCCATGCCTCCAGTTCCAAAGTAACCAGTGGCTATTTGGAGATGTTGGGGATGTGACAGTCCTTTTAACATCACTCGGGCTCCTTAGCAAGTGCCCTTGGCATCTTTGGAGAACACATGCCCTCCTCTTTAGCTCCAAAAGCGCTGCTCTTATTCTTCTCCTTTCCCCACTAGGACTGGTAGAACTTGATGTTTTCCTCATCTGTTTGGGGAAGATATTCTGAACGTAAGCGAGATTTTTCAAGCTGAGAAGCTAGGAGTTCCCACATCCCTGCTCCTCATCAGATGCCAAAAACACAGATGACCTTGCAGGAGCTTCATAAGGATGAGTATCTAGTTAGAGGTGGAAGTCCCAATGGTCTTCTCCTTTGGGCAGGGGAGTTGGGGACTTGCATTTTTCAGGGGGAGGGGTTCCTGAACTGAAAGGGGAGTTGATAGAAATGTACCCCTAAAAGGACCCCGGGTGGTAGCACTGCCCCTCTGCTCTGATGAGGACCACAGACATGAAGCTATTAACGTGGTCTAAAATGCTTTTGGTTGTGCTGAGCTTGGTTTTTTCAGTCCTGTGCTGGGATCCTAAGCGTGGCCATGCATACTGAGAGGGATAGCAGAAGAGATCTGGTTACACCTGTCACATTGGCATCTTGAGAAAAGTCTTCATCAGGGCAGCCAACCAATAGATCTCACCATAGGCCTCTAACAACCCCAGATAGGGACATAGGGATTTTCTTCTCCACACCCCAAGGTCACCTTTGGCCAAACATTTTCCATTCATCTGCCCAATAGTGACCTCCTAAACCCAGGATGGACACAAACCAACTCATAAATGATGCCAAGCCAGTCATCAGAGCCAGAACAAATGCATTTTATTGCTCTACCAAAAGCTACATTTCAAAACCTACTGGAACACGTACAGAAAGAAAGCAAGCCCTGGTGCAGGTTGAAATGATGAAGAGCCAGCCTTAGTAGCAGGCTCTGAGAAACTTTGGGACATATATTTGCAGTGATTCTTTCTTGGGGCTTGGACCCTGGAATCTTCATGGAGACAGAGGGCTGGGCTAGAAAAGTTAGAGTTAACTGGATGACAGGTCCAAGACATGGAAACAAGGGCTTTGGACTTCTGGATCAAGCACTCTCAGAACCGGCCCCCTGGGCAGGGCACACACACAGGGCGGGGGCTACAGGTGGTGCGGGCTAGATTAGGACCACAGGGGGTAGCAGGAAGACAGGGGAGGCATGACTTAGAGGGCGAGTAGTCAGGAGCACACGGGTTACATGGGAGCCTAGAAGACAGAAAAAAGTCGGGTTATGATGATTTTTTTTTTCCATTTGCTGTTTTCAGTGATTTCAAACATCCCAGGATATGCCAAAATAGAAGCCACCACCTCTACAATCACCTAATCCTACCCGCTTGGTAGGAAAGGGGAAAACCAACCCAGAGAAACAAAACACCAGCTGGAATAGCATGACGACTTTGTGCCAAGAGCAGAGCCTAAAACCACCCAGGGCTCCTGACCTCCTGACGCCAAGCTCTCCCCAAGACTCGTGTGGTCTCCCAGCTATTCCGAGAGTATATCCAGAAAAGGAGAACACATGCAGTGGTACTCACTTGCTGTCCTCGCTCTCCAGCAGGCCCCGGTACGTGTTGATCTCACACTCCAGCCGAGCCTTGACATCCAGCAGCACCTGGTACTCCTGGTTCTGACGCTCCAGGTCGGACCTGATCTCAGACAGCTGCGACTCCACGTTGCTGATCATGCATTGCATCTGGGACAGCTGGGAGCTGTACCGAGCCTCTGTCTCCACCAGGGTGGAGTCCAAAGCATCTCTCTGCACAGGTAAAAGACTCATTTGAGATGAGCCAACCAGCCCTTCTTAGCCTCCTTAATCCAGACAGTATCTCTACTAATGGCATCTCTAAGTAGCTGATGATTCCTCAGAGGATAGATCTGTCTACACACATAGAGGAACTACTGCCAGGACACATCTTCAGGTTTTTCACCACTGGAGTGTTTATGATTTGGGGGCTTTGGCATTTATTTCTCTTATCTGCCCTACTGTTCAAGAACTTGAACCCCTGTGGTCAGAGCATGAAATCTGGGGTAGCAGGGCCAAAGGATCATGTACTTTCAGGCTTAGACCAGATGCAACTCCACCCCACCTCAGAACTCACCATGCTCTGCTGGGCCTGCAGCTCGATCTCCAGAGAGTTGACTGTGCGTCTCAGCTCGATGATGTCTGCCTGGCAGGACTGCAGCTGCTCTGAGCTGGACACCACCTGCTGGTTCAGTTCCTGGGTCTGAAACATACATCCCCAGGATCTTGTCAGGAATTGTGGGGACTTGGCTTCAAAGATCTACAGAGGTTATTTAGAATCTGCCTGAGTAAAGGGCTTTCCAGATGACCTCATCTGGCCCATTCATTTCCTACTCACTGCATAGAGGACAAACCAGCCAAGATGGCGCAGGGAAGTCAGCTGCGAGCTGTGCTCCAGGGTGCCTTCCGTGTATCTGACGTGTGTCCTTGTTGGACTGCCTGCTTCTGGGCACCTACCTGAGTGTCAAACCAGTCTTCAGCATCCCGGCGGTTGTTCTCCACCAGCGTCTCATACTGGCACCTCATTTCATCCAGAACCCGGTTCAAGTCTACAGGTGGAGCAGCGTCCACCTCCACATTGAGCCGGTCACCAAGCTGGCAACGCAGCGAGTTCACTTCCTGCGTCACGGACCAGGGTCAGCATTAATGGACTGGCTC